ATTATTAATTATTGTGTATTTTTGGGAAAATTTGTATATCTTTTGAATTATAGGTGCTACAAACCTAATTTACATTTCAAATGAAAGCTAACAAATTCTACACTTAAGAGGCGCATCTAGGTTTTTTATTATCTGGCAAAGATTTATTCAATATCTTCTTAAATTCGGCGATTTTTTTTAAATGTAAAATGGTCTTCCAACATTGTGTCGAAAAATCTCATTGTATTTCAGACTTATTAAAAAAAGTAATTTTGAGTTATACTAACATACTCTTGTGTTAATAGATTTTTTTGATTTTGATTTGCAAACACTTGTCCTAAAGAAAAAACTAATTATTTTAATGAGAAAAAACTTAAACTTTATTTCTTTACCAAGCATAATTCTTGTGAAAAAAATACAATGTTTGCCACAATTACCCGTATTTTCTCTTCAACGAAATGAAGAGGCATAAGAAAAAATAAATCACAAGGAATATTTAAGCCATGTCAGCACTTAAAAATTAAATGAATTCTGCGAAAAACAAAATCGCAGTTAAATATTAAAAGTTCCATTTTTTTCTCATACAAAAATGGACGAAGGAAAAAATCTGTATATTTCACCAGTAATTTGCAATGAAAACTAGCAACATTTCCTTGAGCATTCAAGGAGCATGGTCCGGAGCCGTAATAACCATGAATTGAGGGAAGGAATGAAAAAAAGTCGACGTAAAACTACATCCTTGCTCTATGACCATCATTAAATTGTAGCATCATTATCATCATCATCATCACCACCACCCGGCTCGTCATTATCGTTATCATCCATCGATGGTTAGTTTGGCTCATCATTGTTAAGCAAACCAACGAACCAAACAAGCAGCCAACGAACCAACCAACCACCAGCACTAAGTAGTGGAATGTTCTGCAGTCAAACATTATAGTAATGAATTCATTCCTGAGTCAAGCATCAACAGGAACGGTTTTATCGTCGTTATCTTGGCGAAAACAAAAAAACCAGCAGCTACAGCTGGAAAATGAGGAGGGAAGATTGTATTCAAAGTGAATCCTTAACTTTTTTCACTTTACTCCACACCACTCTGCTCTCCACTGCTCTGGCAAAACGATAATAAACGATAAAATCTTGTTTTCTTGCGTAGTTTGCAGCTTTTCGTTCTTTCTTATCTATGTTGTGAAGATTTTTCTGTTACAATTGGTTTTTCGCATTTTTTTTTTTTTTGCTTTCTTTCTATTTTTCTGTTGCACTTTTAAAGTGCAATGGAAAAAGGTTGTTAGTGCTTGACACTTTGGTACAGATTGAGATTGGAGAAGTATTTAGAAAGTTTTATTTGAATTTAATTTTATGAGATTTTTGCATTTTCATGGAATTTGTTTTGAAATTTTCAGGAAATTGTATTTTATTCTGAGTATGAGGAAATAGGAATAATTTTCATTGAAATTTCAGCAAATATGTTTAATTATAAAAATATATATGTGATTACTTCTAAATATTATATTTATTTGTTTTATTTTTTTTAACTTTATATTTTTTTCTTTTTCATTTTCAAGACATTTTAAATTTGTAGTCCTTGGCGTATGATTAATATTAATTTTGTTGGAAATCAAAAAAATCAGCAATCACTTCTCATTAGAAAATATATAAATGGGATACATACGCATTCCCATGGTCCTTCAGAATAACATCTAAAGTTTTAGTGTTGCCATATAAGGGTCCAGCCCATATTATACCCACTTCACCCTTAGAACCATTATTTTAGGAAAAAAAGTATCTCCTCTCATCTCACATTAAACTTTACTTCCCAACACTTTTGTGCAGTAATTGTACCACCCTGCATGCTATCATATATTCTTAGCATATTTTTGGGCCATTTTCATTCTTTTCGAAATATTTTATTTTAGACGTACCATCGAGCGTATTATTATCAGTATTTCACTATATGATGGCCGATTCACATCTTAAGTTTTGATTGTTGTCATATGCGGGTCCTGTCCACATGATCCAGCACTTTTGAAAAAAAGACAGTTCTCACCATAAATTTTTCATTAGAACTCATTTCTCTACAGTTGTATGAAGTATTCATACCACCCAACATACGATCATATGTAATTTCATACTTTTATTTAATATTCGGACTTAATTCTTTCTTTTCGAAATATTTTATCTTATTCGTACGATAGGGCGTATGATTACTTGTATTTCCCTGTATGATGGCGTATGATTATTAGTATTGCCAAAAAAATTAATGTGTGGCATATGATTAATATGTTGGAAAACAAAATATCAGCAATCACTTCTCATTAGAAAATGTATAAGGGTATGCATACACATACATTTCGCCACATGCCCATGGTCATTCTAATCTTCATAGCCCTTCCAAATCACATCTTAAGTTCCATTGTTGACCTATACAAGTCCGGTCTATAATACTCCTACATTTGTCCCACTTCATCCTAAGAAATATTATTTTTGAAACAATTGTCTGCTCACACCATAAGTTTTTTTTATTAAAACTCACTTCCCTACACTTATTTAAAGTATTTGTACTACCCTGCACACTTTTGGCCCATATTCATGATTATAATAATTGTTTTTTTTTTTTTTAAATGTTGTATTTTATCCCTAACATCGGGCGTATGATTAGCAGTATTTCGGTATATAATGGCGTATGATTATTAGTATTGTCAGACGTATGATTAATATTAATTTTTAAAATTGGAAAAACCTAAGATTATTTCTGTGGATCCATTTATTATTTTTTTTTTATTCCCTTCCAGCAGCTGTAGATTAATTTCATATGTATCACCCGGCGTATGATTATTTGTAATTCCGTCCCAATTTAATTAATTTCCTTCACTCGTGCCATGGTGCGTATGAGCACCAGCAATTTCATATTGAATGGCGTATGATTATTACTATTGCCAGAAATCCTGTTCTGGTTAGCGTATGATAAATATTTTTTCTAAATTTTACATAAGCTGAACTCATACATCCTGGACTAAAGATTATTATCAGTTCACCTCTATCAGTTTATCGTACCGTCGGGCGTATGATTACCAGTATTTCGCTTTATGTTGACGTACGACTATTAGTATTGGCAGAAAGTCAATGGTAGGATTGGCGTATGATTAATATTAATTTTGGAACTTGTAAATAGCTTAGCTCATTGATTTCTTTCCTTTCTTAAGCTGTAGAATAATTCTAGTTCACTTCACTTCTCTTACGCACCACCCTGCGAATGATTATTTGTAATGCCTTCCTCAAATATTCGGTCCTACTTTATTGTTAAAACCTTGTTTTGTGAAATAATTGCCTTCATTCGTACCTTGGTGCGTATGATTGAATGGTGTATGATTATTACCATTGCCATAAATTTAGTTCTAGTTAGCGTATGATTAATATTTTTGAATTCAAAAAAATCTGTATTCAAATATTCTGTACTGTAGATAAATATCAGTTCACTTCTATTTCATGCTTAGAAACTTCAGAGGTACGTCATATTCGAATTATGCTTCATCTGAAACATCGTGATAATTTCTATGAATATTTTCATGCAGGATCTTAGACATATGCTTACCAGTACAGCGACAAAGTAGGTCGTATGGTTATTTCTTAGTTCAGAAATTTAATACCCTTCAACGTATGATTATTATTTTGCCATAACCTTGAGCGACATCTCTGGATTTATTAATTTTATTTTCATCCCTAAGTAACTGCTAAATCGGCACATTTTAGAAAGTCCTCTCATCGGTATCACTCTCATTTTTCAAATTTTTTCCATAAGTTTTTTTCAGTAGCTACTGGGTATTTTTTTGGGTTTTATATATCGACTAGCGTATGATTAATATTAATTCAAAAATTTGACATACTCAGACCCTTCCTTAAATACATCATTTTCATTTGTTTCTCGTATATATGACCCCGCGTATGGTTACATTTAAAATTCAATATCGGTTGGCGTATGATTATTATTAATTATTCAAAACCACTGGGTACTACTCTGCGTATGATTACTGGTAATTCAATATCGGTTGGCGTATGATTATTATGAAAATTCCAATTCTCATATTTTTTATAGATTTTTTTCATAACTTACGGTATATTTTTTTTAGTTTTTGAATATCGATCAGCGTATTCACTTTCAAGCTCAAAACCGCTTCATATTTCAGTTGTTGCTCATGGGTACCACCATGCATATGATTAATTGTAAAACAATGTCATTTGGCGTATGATTAAAAATTCTCATATTTTCATTGGGTTTTGTGATTACTTGCGAGTTTTTTATTATTATTATATATTTGATCTGGGTATGATTAATATTGGTCCAAAAAGTTTACATAGCCTCTACTTTCATACTTAGAACCATCCATTTTTTTCTCACCTATACCACCAGGCGTATGATTACCATTAATTCAATATTAGTTGGCGTATGATTATTATAAATTCAAAATCATTGTTTTTGATATTTTCCATTGGTTTTTGCCACTAGTTACGGGGTATTTTGTTGAATTTTACAATAGTTTATCAGCATATGATTAATATTTGTCCAAAAATTTGACATAGTCTTTACTTCCGTACTCAAATTCCCTCTCAAAAGCTTCATAACTAAATGCTTTCTTATTGGTACCATGGTGCGTATGATTTCCATTAATTCTATATTAGTTGGCGTATCATTATTATTAACTTATAATTATTATTTTTAGTATTTGGTTTTGTCATAAGTTGCGGGGAATTTCGTTGACTTTTTTCAATATTTTGTTAGCGTATTAGTTCAAAATTTGAAAAAGATTTCATTTTCATATCTAAAACACTTAAAACCGCTTCATACATAGTCATTTCCCATCGGCCCCATAGTGCGTATGATAATCATTAATTGTATATCCGTTGACATTTTTTCATCTGGTTTGACATTAGTTGCGGGTATTTAATTGGTTTTCTTTTATTGATTTCTTTATTTCTTGTAAATATTTAGGTTAATTTGGGTTTTGTTTTTGATTTTTTTCTAGGATTTTTTGGGGGAGACTCTAGAATCGTATCATGGCAATCATATGTGGATATGGTTGCGCATGAGTGATATTGATACCAAGGTCAGTAGTAAAAAAAAACCTCACAGGCAGGCATGAAAATAATATTTCAAAATAAAAAAATTACCATGAAAAAATATCGCACTTCACAAAAAACAAATCACAAATGGGTAAATTAAAATATCGGAAGTATTACGATCAAAAAACAAATTATAACATCAGACTTTTTAGAAAAATGTTCTATCAAAAAAAATGCATTTTTCACGCATACGCAATTACTTATCTTTGTCCAAGAAAAAGGGATAATGGAGAGCTCTCTCTTTTTATATTTCCTAACCATACTTCCCTTTCATCTAACACCTCCAAACTATAACACTTTCTCCTTTAATGGATCACTCTTGTCACCTGCCAATCTTTCAAAGCTTTAAGTTACACATCTGCAAGTTACAATTCGATGTAATATAATATTCTACATTGAAATATAGATTCATCAATGGAAGTTGTTTATTGTCAAGATAAGTACTCACATAAGTATTATTACATCACTTCATACTGAAATGACATGCAATTTTTATATTGCAGAACATCTTCTACAATTGATTTAATGCAGGCAGCATTTCAATATTTCAGAATTTGTTATAAATTGGGTTGCAATGAAAATTAATGGAAAGACTTGATATCAAAAATAAAATTTAAGTGAAGTATTACTGAAGAAAAAATGCAAAAAAGCTTAACTATTTTATTAAAATTACCGTATTTAAATCTACGTCCCATGTTGCGTATGATTGATAACAATTCTGAGTTTCTTCAAAGAATCTCGAATATCTCCGAAAGCAATGAAATTACAAAAATATTTCCCAAGTACAAAATGTAGCTGAGACCACAGGTATTACATTTTACCTTACATAATAAAATCTTAAAATTATATTCACTGTAGATAAATGTTCAAAGTTCTGAAATATTAACAATAATTTTGAACACTTTCGATGATATAAGAATACTTCAGCATCTAATAAAGCTTCAAATAAAATATGTGTGCGGTTTATACCAAAATTTAGTAAGACCTCTTAAGCCTCACTTTAAATTATTTAAAAGTTATATTTATTTTATAAAATATATAAACAAATAATAAATCTGATTGCAAATTTCTCCCTTCTTTTGGTACCACATGGCGTATAACTAATATTAATTATGAGTAACTTTAGAAAATCCGCAATATCTTCTAAACCTCAAGAGAGAAAATTATAGTTTAAAGTATTAATAAAAGCATAGACTTCAAGCTTTCAATTGGTACTTTTCTTAAAAATCTTTAAATTCCCTGACATTATTTTCGAACATCCTAAATCATGTATTACTTATTTTTTGAAAAAAGAAAAAAATAAATTCATGTTATTATTTTCCTTTACTTTCTTATTTTGTTTTTGTTTTTTTTTTTTCTTTTATTATTTACAAAGTTCCTCTGGAACTTATTCAGTTTGCATTGTATTCAATTTGTTGTGTCTTGAGGCTAGAACACACACATTTGCTCGCAATATTTTTGCAACAAAGTAAAACGAAAGTGAAGAGCAACGACTCCATTTAAATATAGAACATATTACATTTTTCAGACGAGAAACTAGTTTCGATATGCTGCTCATGTGTAAACATATCGTCGTCAGGATATTTTCTATTTTCATCCTTGATGTATTTACCGCCAAATATAGTTAAGTTTTTCAATTTAATTTCCTGTTTTCGTGGACGTCCTACTTCGATGCTTCTCGTTCTTTGCGGAATAAAGTGCGCTAGCATGAACAGAAAAAAGTAACAGAAACAGGAATATGTATTTTGTGATGGGGGAGGGGGTTCTGTTTCGCCACTAACGGATTGGAGGTGTATTGGGGCGTTGTTAGGTGGGTGGATGCATGGGTGCGTGTGAGTGTTTTCCGCTGAGTGCATGTTATCACCATGGTACTTGGTGTTCAAGGGGGTTTTTAGTGTTCACATTACAAACAAATGGTTTTTGTTGCAAATTTGATATGGCTCGAATGGTAAATGGTGTTGTTTTTGTGTGTTTTTTTTTTTCAACATTCTGTTCGCCGAATGAGATCATAGTAGGAAATGTAATTTGTGTATCAGCACATAACTACACCACCGACATTGCATGCTCTTTCACAAAGATAGATAGATAGTTATGTATAATGGTGTATAGAAATTTACTGAAGTAGGTGGGTGTTTACTGGCTTCATTTTTTAAGCATTTGTTACAAATTTGTGTTCTGAAAAAGCATACACACACATTATGAGCATACAACGGCCAACGAAACACATTTTCAAATGGTACCGCCATGCCATGCGATACATTTGAAATAAAAGAACTGGGGGAAAAACGGACGAAGGAGAGTTAAAAGGCATTGCAATCCGATACAGTTACAAGGTAACATTTGATGTTCAGATTCTTGTATGGAAATTGTGATAAGATTATAGTAAAATAAATTCTAATGGTTATGGGGGGAAATGCAGTGGAAAAATTATTTGAGGCACTAAAAAATATTGTGAACCAAAATAAGTATGAAATTGGTACAAAATATATTTAGGAGATTTCATTTCAGTGCATATAAGTTGGAAATAATTAACTTGAGCTACGTTCTACACGATATGCCTTAAAAGAAAAATCTTAAAATTATCCTTCTGTTATGTACTATGGTGCGTATGATTTATTTTAATTCTGACTTAATTCAAAAAATCTTCCGTATCTCCGCAACCAAATGAGATAGGGTTCTGGTTTAAATTAGGAAACGCAGCTAAGATTTCAAGCTTTTCAAGAAAGCTCAAATCAAAAATCTTAAAATTACGTACATCATATTGCGCATTAATATTACTGATGTTGTCTTACTTCAGCCAAAACCAGGCATATTTTAAATCGTTATTTATTATTTCAATATCTTTACAACCAATGTTCGTAAAGTTATGATCACAAATGCAAAAAGTAACTTAGACTGCCCGCTTTTATGTAAGCCACCAAAGAAAAATCTTAAAATTGTCCTTCTGTTATATACCTCACTGCGTATGATCAATATTAATTCTGTTATTATTTACAAAATTCTCGATATCTCCGGAACCCAAAGATAGATAATTGTATTTTAAATTGGAAAGCCCAGCTGAGACTTCAAGCTTTCAAAGAAACCTGCAATTAAAAATCCTAAAATTAGGTAGATCATATTGCGCATTAGAACAATTGATGTTGTCGTACTTCAGAAAAAAACATGGATATCATTCAAAAAAAAAATCAATATTTTATATAATCCTCAATATCTCTACAACCAATGCGTCTGAAGTTATGGTCAGAAACGGAAAAAGTAGCTTAACCTTCGCGCATTACGATAAACCACAAACGAAATTTCTTAAAATTGTCCTTCTGTTATGTACCTCACTGCGTATGATTAATATTTATTCTGACGTTACTCACAAAATCGTGCATATCTCCGGAACCAAATAAGATAAGATTATGATTTAAATTTTAAAACGAAGCTAAGATTCCCAGATTTCCACGAAATCTCCAAACAAAAATCTTAAAATATCTACACGTCATATAGCTCTTTAGTGCTATTGATGTTGTCTTACTTACGTAACAGGAATATCTTTAATATTTATTCATTATTTGGCTAAATCCTCAATATTTCCACAATCTATACACGTAGAATTATGATTACAAATGGGGAAAGTAACTTGGCCTTCGCACTTTTTGATAAGCCAAAAGAAAAAAATCTTAAAATTGTCCTTCTTTTATGTACCTCACTGCGTATGATTATTATTAATTATGGCTGTATTCGAAAAATCGTCCATATCTCAGGAACGAAATGAGATAACGATCTTTTTTAAATTAGAAAACTAAGCTAAGATTCCAAGCTCTTAGAAATATCTCTAATACACAATCTTAAAATTAAATTATGATATACGGCACATTGATTATTGACAATATTAAAGTAGTCTTCCTCGAAAGAACCAGGGTTGTACCACAAACCAATGCGGCTAATGCTCTACTTCCAAATGGCTAAAAATAGACGGGATATAGTCTTCAAAATATATCATAGTACTCTCATTTATCATTTAAAATATTGCCATTATTTCTAATCCCCTTCGAAGAAAATCCTTCACCTTCCACTAATCAATTCATAACAACGCACTCAATTCAATATAAGAAAAATGTAAGCGCCTTTAACATAATTCTTTAATCCTGTAACAACAATCATCTTGTCAGAAAACGAGGTTCCAACGACCAGAAGGACGGTCATTGGCCAAGTAGATGCCACAACAAATAAAAAAAAATATTTTCTAGAACAAAAAAAAACCCAGACCCTATAACGACCTTTCATGTGAGCGTCTCATGCGAAACCAAGCATTCTACGACCATCATGGTTGAACAGTATACTTTGTCTCACATGTATGCTTGTAGTCGTAACCTTAAGTGGAAGTAAGAAAAGCGATGTGATACATGATGCTTAAGATGCGCCAAAATAACTCGTTTTCGTAACGAATTTTACACGTTTTAGATTTTTCTTGTTACTTGTTGGGCAGTGGTTGTTGGTATTGTTGCTACACTTCTTGTAACAGAATAACAGCTAACAACTACAAATAATGTGACCATAAGTTAATCTATAACATTTTGTTGTTTTTTTCCTTTAAATTAACAATGGTGGGTAGGAGGGGAAGGTTGGGGACAAAAAAAAATATAAATTATAGTTCGGATAATCCTCAAAAAAGGTATTCTAAAAAGGTCCATGACAATTACTCATCATTCCATGCCTATTTTATAATTTTACAAAGCCCCTAGAGCGTATGATACTTATTAATGTATGACCATGGGTGCGTATGATTATTTTTAATTTTGGGTTGCTTTGGAAAAATTGGCATAACTTTGGTTCTACTTTAAGTAGGAAAGAAATCTAAACACCCTGTTGATGGGAAAAGTCGGATCCACATACTAGCCGATAGTTTTTTGTAAAAGCCATACGGCAAGCATTTCAAATACATGTTTGAATAGGAAATCGAAAAATCGGCATTTAAAAGTTTATAAGTAAATTAAAA